ATTGACAAAACTTCATTTAAGTATATTTTTGCTATTATCAGGAAATACCACATCCATTTTTTACACACAGACTTTAAAATTTAAAATTAGATGTAAAATTAGACACAACTTCTACAAATTTCCTCTTAGTCAACAGAAAATCTTCCTTAAACATAATTTATATATCTGAGGTTTTTGGTATTAATTCTTACAGTTTTTGGATATCGTTAATGAGGTTCATTTGCGAGGTTTCTAGAACTTGTTTTAAAGAAATCATTGCCGGTGTTTTGAATCTTTCTTTCAAAGAATTTAATCTCAGAAAACTGTCCACCATTTGCCATTCAAAACTTACTAAGACGTCAACTTCAAATCACTTGTTAGAAAAAAAGAAATTTATTAGAGATAGAACCCTAAAATTATTCTCAAAAGTTGATACGCTGCCCAAACCCGCCCTAACAAGCTTTAAGTCCACCTCAGTACCCACAGGAAGATATGCTGCCCTATGGCCCATCATCAGTTAAACGATAAACGATATAAATTCCAGTATAGTTAAAGCTTAGTGTGGGGTAGGGATAAGCCCCCCGGACACAAAAGAGTAAAAGTGCACAAAAGCACTAACTCAAGAAACCACATACAAAAAAGAGATTGACAGATCGAAATAAAATATTGATGCCTTTATGACAGTTGAAATAATGTTATAGTGCCGAAATTTTAGTTTGCACCTCGTACTTATAAATTAATTTAATGTCAGTTGTATGCAAGAACTAAATAAGTTTTATAAAAATGTTTCCTTCTCTAATTCTAGTTGCGGTGGATGCGATAGCTTGTTTCCATCACTTATGTTATTGGAGCACCATAAGGAGGAGTTCGAGCACTGGAGTGATGATGAAATCAGCCGTCGGATATGCTGTAGACGCAATAGAGGTGATGACTACTTTACAGATACGGACTCATTCACTAGTGAAGCTGAAAGTGAAGATTTGGAGAGACTTTTGTAAATACTTTTAGAGAAAGGATTATAATTTGCTAGGACATTAACGAAGTGTAATAAAGCAAGAGAATTTAGTAACTGACATACTCCATAATAGTCAACTTCCTATAAATTAATTTAGTAATGACTTATTACATAGATCACAATAAGAGATGAAATTTTTTTAATTTATTTATATCAATGTAATTATATGCTTGTGAATAGGTGTCTACTTAACAGATGTAAAATACGCATATATCAAATATATAAACAAAATATTATTTTTGTACCCAAACAAAAAAAAACCGAAACTGACATATATCGCAAATGGTTGATGATATGTCACACATGAATATGTAACAAAATCTTTTAAGTACTAAAATCACCAAGGAACTCGAAACTTTATATTAGGAGTCCTTTAATTAAGCAGCAAACAAACTGATTGTATTTTTAACAAATTTTATTGTATATCAGAATTAGGCAATTCGTTTTCAAAATTATTTGAGTACAATTTGCTATCATATCAAGAAGAAATATTTTATTGTTTACTTTATATAGTGAAATTTTGTATAATTTTTAAAATTGTACAAATTATATATGTAAATGTATATTATATACAAGATACCAAAAAGTAGTAATGTAAAGATATCCACAAAATACTATATCAAAACCGCATTTAGTGTAAATGTAGAATCCAAAGTTATGTGATGCGAGTAGGAGAAGAATTTGTAACGACTTGGCAACCTCAGAGATGTTTCTGTAACTCAAATCGAAGTTGGCCAAGAAAAAAATTAAAATTGTAATATTCTGTCAGAATTTATGCTTATACAAATAAAAACATATTTCATTTAAAAAATTTTCCGGCTTTAGTTACTTTCGAATTTTAGATTTGGCAAAAAATCTGTAAATCGTTAAAATGCAAGAATTTCAAAATTTATTTGAAGAGGTTGACGACCTTATAAAAGAAGCCAATACATTGAGTGCCGAATTTTTAAAAAGCAGCGGCGATAGACTTTATGAAGATAGAGATTATAAATCTGCTTTACATGATTACAACGCTGTCATAACAGAATTTTCCGGACTATGTCAAAACTTGGGTTCTGTGTATTCCAACCGCTCCGGCTGTCTTCTAAAACTTGAGAATTGTAAGAGTGCACTTGGTGACGCACTCATTGCTTTAGAACTAGATAGTAATGATGCGGAAGCGCACATAAATTTAGTGAGGTGCTATATAACCCTTGGTGACATATCTGCTGCAGAAGAAGCACTTGAAACGATCTACGAGAAGTTTGGTAAAAATTTTAGGTGTATACGCGAATTAACTTCTGAATTTGAAAAACTACGTGATATAGATACAAAATTAAGTTCTAGTTTAGATGCTAAGGACTTTAAAGATACATTAGAAGACTTGAAATGTGCAATGAAATGTGCACCTGGCTGTATTCGATACCGTATCCTTCACACTGAGTGCCTGGCTTATATGAAACAATCGGACATGGCCGTTAGGGATGCTGCAAGTGTTTTACATACTGACTGCAACTGCAGTGGAGCACATTACGTTACCGGACTAAGTAGTTACTTTAAAAGCTATCAGCATATGGGTGTTGATCGATGCAAGCATGTATTGCTATTAAGTCCAGAACACAAAAAATCGCAGCAATTTGTAGAAAAAATCCAAAAACTTAATGAGTTGAAAGAAAGAGGTAATCAAGTTTTCATGCAATATAAATTTCATGAAGCAATAGCACTTTATACTCAGGGTCTAAATCTAGATAAGGATGATATGACATTTAGCTATAAATTTCTACACAATCGTGCCTTAGGTTATTATAATCTTCGAGACTATGAGAAAGCAATCGATGACTGTACGAATGCGCTCATTTTAAGAAGGGAATATTTCAAGGCATACATCTTGCGCGGTCGGTGTTACAATAAGTTGGGAATGTACAAGGATTCTGTTGCTGATTTTGAAGCAGCTTCAAAAGTATGTGCTTGTCGAGAAATCAGGGTATTACTCTGCAATGCAAAATTTGATCTGAAATGTTGTTCTCAATTATCCTATTATTCCATACTTGGTATAAGTGAGTCAGCAACTCAAAAAGATCTTAAAAAAGCTTACAAAAGACTAGCACTCTTGTATCATCCGGATAAACATGCCAGTAGCAGTGTTACAAAGCGCTCCAAGGCTGAGCAAGTCTTCAAAGAAATAAACAAAGCGTATACCACATTGATTGATCCAGCACAGAAGCTTCGTTACGATCAATCTTTTCGTGATCGTAAGAAAATTTACACAAATGAAGCTGAGGTTTTGCGTAAATTCTTTTGTAATTTGCCGAACTTTTGGAACGGAGGAAATTAACTTACATTTTAAAATGCAGAATATAATTCCTAGATTTACAGATTGAGTACATCAAAAATATTTTAAGGTCTACAAACTAAACAAAAAAATAAATTTCAGTTATTTTCCTGCAGTAAATTAATAAGTGTTTTCAATATAGGGTCTGTAAAATTTCATTAATTAATTGTGAAATATTGCTCAAAATATAAAATTCGATCTGTAATAGCAGAAGATGCTGAAAGTAATATAAAGATTAATTAAAGCAAGATATAGATATAAATGGAGAGAGTATGTCCAGTAGTTTTAGGTCCTTAGTGGACTCTTTAATAGTAGTAGGAAAATAATTCGTGATTCTCTGTCAACAATTTCAGTCAACAGATATCCAATATTTGTTTCAGTTTGTTTATATTTAATGTTGTTAGTACAAAAAGTTTTTAGTAATAATCGTAGCAAAAGTCATTCCATGAAAAGTCAAATTTTAATGCAACATAAATATTTTTTTAAAGTATGAATACTGACTGAATATCTTGTAACTCTCTTGTAACTATGCCTTGATCTGAAATTTTCGAGTTTTTAAATCTCTTTCGTTCAAGTATTCGGTTAACAAAATTCATCTACCTACTTGATGAAACGGTCTTTTGCCATTGGTCTTACTTGCTTATTCATCTCCCTTCCGAAGAGTTTTTTATCTCTTACAGTTATAATACCAGCTAACTGCACCAAAACTCAAAATAGTTTAAATAAAATATAATGGAATATGAATATTATTATTATGCAGATATATGCTGATATTCCCACAATCTTTATTGCTGCAGATATATTACTTTATAATATATATAAAAAACGTATATATTAGTATAGTTGATTTAGTTACCTTTATTAGTCCTTTGTTATTATTATTTTAATGCATATATTAGTATTCAAATAGTTTATTTAGTTACCCTTATTTGTCCTTTATTAGTGACTCTCGACATAGTTTTAATGCACATAGTTTTTAAAAAATTCGGCCAAAATTGTACTTCAACATTGCCCTCCTCTTAAATCTGTTCGTCCCGAACAGGTATTATCAAATCGTTGCAATAAGGTGCCAGCCGTTCCAGATGCAGTAGATGTAGTATTAAAGTAAATAAAAATATTTATTTTATTTTTTTATTTATTTATTTAATATTTATTGCATATTTTATTGAATATAAAACAACTTTAGACACTTGCGACTTTACTTTACACTTGAGTGCAGTGCTATACTCATTAATACTATAATTTTTACTACTTTTTTGCAACTCATCATTCACAAAATTTGCAGATACGATTCTTTACGTTACTAGGAGGCAGAGCTAAGGGCTCGAAATAATCAACTGCTAACTGGCATCAAAATATTCCTAACTAAAATTATATTTAACATAAATTCTTTTAAGTCTTTCTGCAATATTGTAACCTTATAATGTATATTCATTTACTAACCATTTTTTTTTTACTATTTTTATTTTTTCACGAAACGAAATTATTAACGTAATCAATCATTAGAAATTTAAAAGTACTTATATTGTAAAATATGAAACAACATCGATAAACTTAAAAAGTTTCTTATTAAAGAACTTAGAAGTAACATGGAGTCAAATCACAAAATCTCTTCCATAAAGAACAATTCTTAAAATGCGACCACTATAGTCAGCGCAGAGTGGGAGGTATTGTATATATATATCGACTGCAAAAAAAAAAATGTAAAGTGCGAGAAGTACCACTTAAACATATTGGCAAGTTAGTCTTTTAAATTCATTTTTAACATAAAATACACAGAAACTTGAAGTTTTCCACCCAAAACTGGAAAAAACGCAGTTATTCACGTTTAAACGCTAAACTTTATGGCCAATATAAAAAGGTAAATTATGAGGCTGAAGCATCGGCACAAGGAGCAAATAAATGGCGAATTTACACGCCATTGGCAATTGCACGAACAGTAAAACGTTTAATTTTGTACGATTTTATGCTCCTTTCGAAAGGCCGGATATACTACCCGGAAATGCTGTTCGGCTGGTATAGGCAGACAACATTGCAATAAACTTAGTAGATACTTCATTAATGGCACATAAAATCGATGATATTTTTTTAATTTTAACTAAATTTCGAAGAATATAAGAAAAGTGGATATTGTTGCCAAGACAATTAAAAACTTTAAGCTTTTCAGCAATGTGTAGTCTACGAATTGAGAAGTAGAGAAGTATTATTGCCAACATGTAGAATAATTTTAAATTTATTTAGATATTAGTAATAACTTTTAAAGTGACTAAAGATATTCAATTTTCAATAAATAATGACGATTCCCGTCAATGACATTAAAGGGCATGTTGCTAACAATCCCATTCCATCTGATAGTTAAGGGATCAATGTTCATTTTAGTCAGAAATCATGGTCTATAATTAAGGAAGAAAAAGTTAAATACAGAGTGTCTGTTTATTTTGCAAGTTTGGTTGGCAGAATTCATGCCAGGGATCATGAAAGCTGCAGTAATAAGAAGGGATGAAAGAAGTATTCTGCACCTAGTTATACGATTAGTGGATGTATAAAAATAAAACATAATTTTTAGTTAAAATGAATTATACTGCAAATAACTAGGTACATATTAGAGGTTACGCATAACAGCGAAATATATTTTATATTATTTAAATAAATGGTGTACTTCGACATCAATTGTGCTTCTCCATTAAAAGGTACAAAGATGAAATGCAACTTCGATTTGAACTATAAACTATTAAAAGTTTTTCAATAACAATATATCAACAACTTGAACTGGAGATGTAATAGGATCGTATATTTTTAAAAATGTGATGTAAGTCAGACATCGGTCATCAACTCTGACCGCTGTAGCCTCATAATCAATCAATTTAATCTTAATGAAATTGATGATGTGCATTGGATATATGATTCCAACAGGGCGATGCCATAAGTCACATCTTACAGGATTTTAAATAAATTATGGTAAAAAGCCATTTTAATTACAATATATTTTATTTAAGTTTAAATAGACAAGTCACAAAATAAGTCACAAAATATACAATCCTGTCTATTTGTAAATATATACCTTAATTAAATTGTTTTTATCGCTAAAGTACATATATTTCATTAAAATTTCTCTTATGCTATTTAACAAATTTTTATTATTATTAATTTTTTTATTATTTATTTTTATTATTTAATTTTTTCAAACATTTTTTTATTTTTGTCTTTAAATTTGTTAAGTCAGCATTTCAAAAATAGAATGCAATTTCTTAAAAAAATTTCGAAAATAAATGACTTTCGTAATTGGTAAACTAACACGTCCTGTTAAAATATCTGAAGTACAAAATTACAAAAACAACAGCTTGGTAGATAGCTAGACATAAACTTGGATATTATGTTGCTGTGTAATAATTACAGAGTTGACCATCTTTTCCACTACTAGGCTTACTTGTAATTACACAAGCATTTATGACGCAATTATTACCATAGAAAACGACAACAGAACAATAGACAGGACACAAAGCTTTTGGACAAAAGGATATCAAAATAAGGTACCTATGTATGTCACGTTGAACGCAAAAATACAGAAGACAACACTACAAAATTGCTGGTTCGACCCAAAGCCATGCACCGCAATTTGAGTACATTCAAGGACAGTGTCCACATCATCTCTGACATTTACAAGAGCTTCCTGGCAAATGTCATTCAGCCAGGGTATATAACAGATTATCTAGCATTACAATAGGGCATTTAAATTGGATTCAATACGGTTTTGTATATTTGACAAATAATTTTATTGACTTCAATTAATTTCGTAAAAGAATTTGAATTTGCTCTTCAATGATTTTTGGAAATTACACAAATTGGTCTTTCCAAATCAACACAAATACAATGTGAAAAAAAAGAATTAATTAAATAATGCATATAAAAATGTTTTTATTTAAAAAAAAATTGTTTAAATAAATCATTTAATCATAGACTTTTTTTATTATTTTTCTTGGCTTTTGCTTGAATAATTAAATAATTTGTTTATTTATAATATAAATGTATGAATATGAATACGAACATTGTCGTAATACCCTATAACATTTAGAACTACTGAAACCTGTCATATGTATTATAAAATTCATAAGTCGACTGGATCAACAGGTTTCCCAGCTTCCATAGATATACATATATTATTATCAATATTAAACATATTATTATTGTAAATATTATTATTTGCGGCTAAAATGCCCCCTGACCTAAACAGATGCATTGTACGTAGTCCTGCCTTTAATATTTTACATTAAAACGTTTAATAAATGGGAATGACATCTAAGTGGAGTAGCTTTTTCTTCGCCAAGAATGCGGTACTCACAGAATATACAATCTGGGCTTCAAATACTACGAAATCTGTAGACTACAATGGCAAAAAAATTCTCAAGTTGCAGTGACCTATAAAATGACAGATAACTCTTAAGTTCACCGTGTTTAACAATAGTAACATACACCCAACTCTTTTTTTACACGATTTCTTTTTACACGGATTTGAAGTTACACGGTTGAAAAAAAAAATTTTTTGTAAAAAATTTTTAATCTAGTACGGTCTCAAAATCACTATCGGACTTTCAAATGTTAGGTAGGTAGGTAGGTTGGAGTGGCGGCCTTATTTACCAAGAAAGCCCACTTGAGCACAAATAATGGCCCGTTGTGGTGCTACAAGGAAAAAGCGATGTTCGTATATAGACAAGGTGATCAGTATACGACCAAGGCTCAAAAGAGAGGCAACGACTCCCCCATTAGGTGAAGGAGAACCTACCCGACAGTTCTATGAATCTAGCTAGGTCCCTCACATTGTAGGATGACAGCTCAGTCAGATCGGTCAGAAATGTTCAAATGTTATGTGAATGTCGATTTATTTTTAAACTTGTGGTGTCATCAAACACAATTTTCTGGTTACTCAAATGATTCAAGAATATAATAGATCATTTTAGACGAGGGAATTTTACTTAATTTGAAGGTTTATCTGCGTAACCTTTTTAATCAGTAAATCAGATTTTATATAAATTCTTCAGAGTTTGTGTCGAAAAACCAGGTTAAGATATTTCGTACTTAATGACTGAATTTTCCCGCTAACAAATAAACTA